CGTCTGGACATTTGAGATAAAGTGGACACATGTGGGTGTTACTATTTGTTGGTAGGGATAGACTCGAGACCTTATCGGTCAAACGAGATGAGGTGACGCCAAACCTTGGAGCATGTCTTGGAAATTTACTCGTTTGTCTCTCGCAAATAGGCTATGCGTCTCGAATATGTTTCCCATCGGTTTTCTTCTGAAAGTGTTGGTGTTACGGTCGATAAGCAATAATCCGGAGAAATAGAACGTGGCTTAAGGAAGCTCCCCATTCCAGAGAGCCTCCTCGACCCCTCCCTTTAATGCCAACATCGCCAGATAAACTTCCAAATTCTTTTTTCACTGGCTATTTACGAAAAGACACCCTTGAGCTTACACAAGAAGAAATGCATTGAGAACAGAAAACGGAACTACCGTTTGCTCAGTTTCTTCCCTTCGCATCTCTTTCGGTGTCTGCAGAGGATACTAGGAAATTTCGCTTTGTTATGCTACCGCCCATGTGTGTCTGTTTGGGTGTGTGTGCGTGTGTTGTTTATGCTTTCGTGTGCGTGTATATTTTGCCTTGCCGGTGTTTTGAATTGTAGATTTCAAAATAATCGATTCAAATCAGAAAATTTCGTCTGTCATGCTTTCAAGTAATTGAGCAAGTAATCGTTTGAACACCAGCTTATAGTCCTTAACGAAGTTCAAAATTATGTTGTGCTCAGCTTAAGTCCGCGAGCTCAAGATTAAGCCGATGATAAATCATAGTTTTCCTATCCATACATGACTTGTAAACTCATCGATGGAGGGAGTTTACATCGGTAAGTTCCCTTTTGGACTACTTTGCGGCTAGATGTCCCGTTGGATGTCTCAAATTTTGGCCAGGTACCTTTGTTTACATAGCGGCTGGAGCACCTGTTGAACCGTACCTGCACCCACGTACACAGTTTGGCACATCGTTGACCTGGTCTCCAGCCTCTGATACAATGTTACAGAATATATAGATTCTGTATGCAAAGGGCACATTCGAAAACCGACCAGTTTGACTCGCATCTTTTACCTGGCACCAAAGTGTTTGGGTTAATGGGGTCATCCATAACCTCAGCTTGTCTTGAAGTTTGTGTTGACTCACTACTTAATTCTCCTCTCCGTCTATGTTTCAATTGGAACGAACGCCTTTATTGTATTGGATAAAACTTTACAACTCAAGAGAAATAATAATTTATTGCTGCCATTGTCAGTGTCTGGGATGTCAGAAATGACAGGTCTGTGAATCATTTGACAGTTATCAGGCGGGTACCCTTTATAATTGTAATAAGGCGGGAGAGCAACTCTGTAAGCTCAATTTTATCTTTCTTTTAAGGATTTCGCTTACCACGGTATGATTAAGTGTCTCTTTCTTTTTTAAAAAGCCTATAATTTTGGATATTTCACTTTGCCCTTGTGCCCTTTTTCTTACCAACTGGTTGCCTGTGATCTGGTGCCAAGTTTCCCCTTTGCAGAGTAGGTGCCAATAGGTGCACCTGGCATTGCTCAGCTTTTGGCAGAGCTTTCATTCATACAATTAGTTAATTTGTTTCACTTACACTGTTGTCATGTAATAGAAAGAAGTTTTAAAGATATCATCCCCTAAATCGAATCTAATTTTAAAATGCTGGCTGGACTCTACTAATTTTAATTTTCTATCATTTGTATTGGCTCTGTACTGGCTGTTAGGGTTTGGGAATAATTAGTGAGAGTGTATTTTTTCAAAGAAGTTAAATTTTGAAAATCTAACTGGTAAGCACTGCTTTTTTGTTTCAGATGAGAGGGAGGATGTGCAGAAGAAGACCTTTGCAAAATGGATCAATTCCCAGTTAGCCAAGGTACCCAACAAAGTTCATCATAAATTCTACTATGAAGTAGATCATTATAGTCATGCTCAGTCTATACTATTTGAGAGTGTAACTTACCAGTTATTTCTGTATTTCAGCGCAACCTTCAACCAATCACAGATCTTTTCCAAGACCTCCAAGATGGCAATCATCTGCTCACCCTTTTGGAAATACTTACAGGGAAAGAATACGTAGGTCTTTTTTAAAATTATAATTTACCCTTTTTCCTTCTTGTAGTTTTTAATCTAATTTTGTCTTACAACATGTTTGTTCCTTTAGAAACGTGAGAAGGGGAAAATGCGAGTTCACCATTTAAATAATGTCAACAAAGCTCTTCAGATTCTTGAACAAAATAATGTAAGTCTAACAAATTTACATAAAGCATGCAACAAGATACCAACAAGAAATTTTGACTCACTTGAATACTGTTCCAGGTTAAATTAGTCAATATCAGTAGCAATGATATTGTCGATGGCAGCACTAAACTCACCTTGGGGCTGGTTTGGAGTATCATTTTACATTGGCAGGTTTGTGGAAATTATGAATTGTCTCACAGATTTTGCTGTACATGCTGATCCATTACTTTTGATGATTTCTTATTATCTCTCCTTTAATGTTTTAGGTTCACTATCATTTGAAAGATCTTATGTCTGAACTTCAACAGACAAATTTGGAAAAAACTTTATTAGCTTGGTGTAGGCAAAACACCCAAAACTATCCTGGAGTGGATGTTAAAAATTTCAGTACTTCATGGTCTGATGGATTGGCCTTTAATGCCCTAGTCCATCGATGGCACTCAGAACTTTTCCAGTTTCCTGCTGTTGCTAAGATGCATCCTAATGCCAGACTTGAACATGCTTTTCGGCTAGCTCAAGAACTTCATGGCATTGAGAGGCTGTTGGATCCTGAAGGTAAAATTTTTATTAAGTTTATAAAAAATAAAATAAAAAAACAACTCTTAATCTTAGATTTTCTAACTATTCTTTTCTATTTCTGTTCAATTTTACAGATGTTAACACTTCTCAACCAGATAAGAAATCAGTAATGATGTATGTCATGTGTCTTTTTCAATCCTTACCTCATTCTGAAATGGATGCAAACTGCCTTGACTTCTCAATCCACTCCGACAACAGCTCTATTGCCTCACCTGTAGTTGAAACGAGATCACTGGATGCCTTTGTTCGTATTTCTTTATGTGGGTTTACTCCTAAGTTGTGATAATTCTGTTTTCTTCATAAATCGTTCCTGTCTGTACAGAGTGCTGGAATGCTTGGAGTTCCAACTTCTCGGCCTCTTAGTATGGCCACAAATGTATCTGTGGAGCTGTCAGGCTATCAGCGAGCCCTTGAAGATGTACTTACATGGCTTTTAGAAGCTGAGGATAGACTTACAAATGCTCCAACAGTGGAAGGACCTTTACAAGGAATAAAAGAGCAGTTCCATACTCATGAAGTGAGTAAAAGTTTCAATCCTTGGTTTCTATTTACACTTTTAGTTATAACATTGTTTTCAATTTATTTCCAGCAATTTTTATTAGAACTTGCACGACATCAAAGTGATGTTCGTTCGGTTTTGGAGGAGGGCACACATATCATTCATGAAGGTGGGCTATCACGAGATGAAGAAGATGAAGTTCGAATCCAAATGAAGCTATTGAACACAAGATGGGAGGAGTTGCGTGTAAAGGCCATGGAACGTCAGACAAAGTAAGAATAACAACCTATGAGGATGTACCGTGAAGTTTGTCTATTATCTCCACACTTAACATAATTTTCATTGTGTTTAGAATTCATGAAGTTTTGATGCGAAAGCAACAAGAAGAATTAGATAATTTCAGACAGTGGTTGACTGTCACAGAAGACAGAATATCTCGAATGGCAAAAATCGGTCCAACATTTAATGATTTAGTTAGGCAAGTTGAGCAGCATCCAGTACTTTGTGCAGATCTTGAAAAGCAGGAGGCTTCGGTTGCAAGTTTGTCCGAAATGGTGGTTGTTGTAGATGACAACAACCCAGATAGTGGTGAGTGGTGTGTTTCTGATCCTTTAATGAAGTATCTCATTTTCAAATGTTTAATTGTGTTTTTTTTTTTCTGAAGAGGGAGAGTCTCATATGGAAGATCAGTTAACAGCTCTCAATGAGCGATGGGCACACATCCAAAAATGGACTCAGGAAAGATGGCTACGTTTAAAGGAGCTTAACAATTCCTGGGCAGACATTTCAGGTAGATGTGTTCTACTCCAAGTTTGGCTAGATTCTAAAGAAAAGCTTCTGAAAGGAATGGAGGCTGATCCTGCCCTTGAAATTGGACAGGTATGAGTAAATAGAAATATTATAACATCTAATTATTATTTTTTTGAAATGTATTTTTTTTTTTTTTGTATCTTTTTGTTATCTACCTCTTCCTACCATTAATTTTCTCTTCACATGTAGGTTTTGGAAAGAATCAAAACTCTTCAGACTACAAGACGAGAGATGGATGCACAACAATCAGCTCTAGAATATTTACAAGAAGAGACTTCTCAACTGGATTTAAAAATATCTCCAGGGTGGACAGCTGATATTCAAGGAAAAATTGAAACAATTCAAGACAAATGGGAAGCTTTGTCACAAATCATTGAAGTGCAAGCTCAAAGGGTATGTTTTTCTTTCTTCTATTGAAATATAACATTAGTACAACATGTGAATTATGTGTAGAACATATTTCTTCAAAATTCTTTTTTGTTAAAATATTTTAGATTTGTGACTCTGGCTTTGACTTCAACCTTTATGGTGGAATAGCTGAAGAGAAAGACACTAGTGCTGCCAGTGAGCCTAAGAGACGTCGAACTGGCACTGTGAAGAAAGTTAAATTTGAATCTGCTTTGGATCAGCTTGCTAGCTTTATGGAAAGAACTGAGACCCTTTTAGAACAAGTTGCAGCTTCCATTCATGATCTTGCCCCTGAGATTAGGCAAAAATTAGATGATTCAGCTCAGGAAATATCAATTCGACAATCTGATCTTCAGAAATTAACTAGACTGGGCCAGGAACTCACTATAGAAATGCAAGCTGATGGAGCTGATGATATGTCTGTCTATAATGAACAACAGAAATGGATGGGTGCTGAACAACGTCTCATTCAGCTGTCTGCCAACGTACAGTCAGCTTGTCAGGCTGCTCAATACCACCAGGATGTGGCAACTGTCAACAGTGAACTTTCAGCCATCCTAGGATTATTGGAGGGACACCGGAAATGGCTAGAGAAAACAGAAACTTCACCCAAGTCAAGCTCTCCATCTGTTTTGGCAGACCAAATAAGAGTCAAATTGAAATCAATGCGATCGCAAGATGACCGATTATCTAGACTTAAACAAGTTGCTCAAAGAATTTCAGAAAATGATAACACTGATAGGCAGCTTGCTACTGATGTCATCCAACTTGGAGAGCAGTGGATGCTCTTACAGCAAAGGTAAACTTCTTTACCACCCAGTATATTTGTGAATCTACTCTAGATTTGTCTGATTCACTTTGTAATGGTTTCAGATATGTTGATCATCAGTCAAAATTAAGTGGCGGTGGAAACATACCTGTTGATAAGGAAGACGCAGTTGATGTTGTTATGAAGCAAGTGAAAGAGCTCTCTCCAGCCATGAAAGCACTGACAGAATGGGTGAATTCAGCCGAAAGTACTCTTCTCTCTGATCACGTGGCATTGGTTGAACTCCCCGTGATGGAACTACAACTGAAGCGATTCCAGGTATGGAACACTTCATACGTAATTACAGGGCCTATTTATCAGCATTTGTTTTTCAGAAGAGAATGTTTATCTGGCAATTTATTTTTTCTTGTTTTCAACACAGCTTCTTGAAGAGCAACTTAAACAGAATGAAGTAGAAATTGAGAAGATGAGTACAGACACAGATGGTCAAGATTTATTAGAGCTGACTACCCACTGCAGTGATATTAAAGCTATTCTCCATGAGCGCCAAACAAAGTTGCAACCCTGTAAGTTGAACTTAATTTTTTTTCTTTTGCAGCCCTTGCTGTGATGTGGTGGTTTCCTTCTTTTTTTATTATCGATTGCTGTACCATGACAAATATTGTAGAGCTGTTACTGTTACTGTGCCAATTATTTTCAGATATTGACACTATGCGTCAGTTCTCAGAGGAGGTAACAGGATTGACTGCATGGCTTCAAGATGTTGAAAGCTTTTTAAAAGCTGAACAACAGCTTCCTGTTGGTGACTTAGAAACCTTAGAAGCTCAACTTGAGCAGTCCAATGTATGTTGACTGCCTCTTTTGAATGCTTTATATTTTTTTTAAATCGACTATTTGTAGAATTTTATTTTGAATTGACTTTTTGACCAATTTATTTTAAAATTTTCTTTTGTTGATAGGCACTACAGGATGATATTGAGACTCTTGAACGTAATGTTCAGAATATAACGGCATCTCTTGCCAAGTTGAAGGAACATGCATCTGAGTCATTTAGTGCACACTTGAATTCTCAGCATGAGGCGCTCATGAATAAATGGGAGAAAGCAGTTGAGGGTGCAAAGAAACATAATGCAGGTTTGAAAACAGCACACCAAAAGAGTCAAACTGTAAGTACAGTTCACAGTTTCCATAATTGCCTTTCATGGGCTATGTGTGGATGCCAATGTAAATGTATGCTCATTTAATGTTAAATAATTCCAGGTCAACAAAGGTATCGAAGAGTTCTCAAGCTGGCTGACAAATCTTGAAAAAGAAATTCCTGAATTCGGCTCTGCATCATCTTCTGCAGAATTATTCCAGCTGAAGGGAAAATACCAATCTTTGAAACAGAAAGTTGATGATCGCACAGAGGCATTCAGGCAACTAAATGAAATTGGTATAATTTATATCCTTTCTCACATAATCATCGCTTATGTATTGCTAACTTTGAACTCACTCTCTTGGAAATTCATTGTTTTCCTTCACCATAGGTAATGATCTAATGTTGAGCAGTGAGGGTCCCTCTGTCCAAGAATTGGCTCGTCGTATCACTCAATTAAATGCCAAGTGGACAGAAGTCATTGACAAAATTTTTGAAAAATATCGTGTCCTTCAAGATGCTTCCCATCAGTATGGAGAATTCAAAGGTACCAAGATTTACATAATTGTAGATGTTTCATTGAGATGGTAATTCAGTTATATGTTCAGTCTTACAAACTTCTTTTTATCCAGCACTTGTAGCTCAGGAAATGGATTGGCTAGATAAATTAGAAAAACGACTTAGAAAGTCACCGAAATCAGCTGCTGATGCAGAGGAAATCTCAGAGGAATTAGATGTATGTAATTTTTTAATTTTTATTCTGGTTTTGGGCTCACACTGCCATGCAACTATCTCATATCTTTTGCTTCACATTAAATTGGATCAAGGAATATTCCCTGTCTTTTGAAATGCATTAATGCTTTTAAAATAGCTTTCCTAATTTTATCAGCAATAACAACTTTGCTGTGATCCTTCTTGCATCTCTCTATGCAAGAGCTGCTGTGGGCGTTGCAAAGCACTGTGCTCTGTCCCAAGTTTCCTGTGTGGAATCGCTGCCTATGTATTTTCAGGATTTAGAAAACTACATCCGCAATCATCCAGATGCTAGACTGACTCGTATTCAAGAAATTGGCAAGGCTTTGGAGGACGATGGAGTTATGTCTGAAATGGTGAAAGCTGAAGTTGCTGCTGCTACTGATCGTTGGAATCTTCTAAGTCAACAGGTAAGTTATTAGTTATCATCTCATTAAAATGCCTTTTCCCCCCTTTGGTCTAGAGAGATGTTTTAGCTATCGAGCCAATGATGTGCAATATGAAAGGTGATGGGTAGCATGTTGTTTCAAAAAAATAAGTTAATTAATGAAGTGCTACAGATGTGGCATGTTATGGCCAGGGAGTCCTTTGGGTGGATTGCATGGCATTGGTATCGGAATTTTGCAGATCCGTGGATATATTGATATGAGGAAAGCTGCTCTTTGGGTTATGGCAGTGACCACTTATCTTCATGTCATAATTCAGGTTTGCTGCCACTACCACCAGTATTATTCTTTACATAGATATGCTCGAGATTAGATGGCGGATCAAACAAACATTTGTGATTCTTGGTTTTGCTTATCTTCATGTATTGTATGTGTTAGAAGGTTGCCATTAGAGAGTAGCTTGCTTTTTAGTGTATTGCAATTATCTTCTACCTCTGTCTATACAATAAACAATTTTTCTTTGACAACAAAGAAATTTTGATGCCAGAGAGACCTTTGATGTTTTTACATGAAGATTAGAAGTGGGCTAATTGCTTCAATAATATATGTTTTTCAGGTTCTGGCTTAGTGATGATTATATATCTTGTAGATTGTTTTCGTGTCTGATTGCTTTGTTTCTGTTCTGCCTGCGTTAATAGGCTAGAGACCGCACAGTCTTATTAGAAGTTTCCGCTGCTGAAGCACAGGAATCTGAAGGTCAAATCTTGGAGCTACAAGAGTGGTTAACTCAAGTAGATGCCTTATTAACAGCTCGTCTGCAAAACGACATTTTTGCGGATGACTTACCAGATGATCAGGTTTGTGTTGAAAAATGTATTTTCCACAAATGTAAAGGAATACAATGTTGTATGCCCCTTTTGACTGTGGACTCCAGTTCTTGTAGTTTAGAGAAGCAATATGCCTGCCTAACAGAGTAGCTAGCAGCACTATCATAATGTAATTATTTATCATTGAATCTTTTATGTTTTAACTACTGCAACCCCTTTGAATATTCATTTCTTCTCCTTACTTCTTATCTTAATCATTCACTTTTTGGGGTTTTGTTTTGAAAGTTTTGTGAGTTTTTTAAACTATTTTTTTACACAAATTTCACAACTACCATTTGTTTACTTCAAACACACTCAAGATTCAATATTGTTCTAATATTGGATTAGGTGAATTTTGGAAATATAAGAACATGATTCAATTTTTTTTTTGTGTGAGTAGTGTTTAGTCGGTTTGTTTGTATAAAATGGGTTTAGTATCTTGTATATATTGCATGTGATCTTATTTGTAAGGCCTGTAAATAGTCTATAGTAAGTCTCTGCATGTTGAATTCGGATGGATGTTCTATGTATCTGAAAGGCATGATTGTTTTCACTTGATTATCTACCAAGATGAAATGTTCCCACAATTTAGTATATTACCGATAGAGGTCAAAAGAATCTGCAAAGTTAGGTTTTGCACTACTAATTCTTGTTTGATTCTCCTATCAGCGTTTGGTGGATGAATTTGAAATCCAAGCATATACATTAAAAGATATGAGTGAGCAGGTGTCTTCGTATGAGAAAGCTGGCAAACTGGAGGCAGCCTCACGTTTGAAAGAACAGATGCAGTTGCTAGAGGTGAGTGGGAATCTTGTCTCAGCATCTTTGTTGCAATTTTGTTAAAAATCAATTTTATTTGATATAAAATGTAATTATTTTACTTTATTTTAATTTACTTCAGCAACGGTTTAACGAAGTTCAAGAGAGATTCAAGCTCTTTCAATCAAATTCTTCAGACCTTGAACCACGTCTGATGAGGGTGCTCAGAGAATTGAGAGGGGTAGAAGAGGCTACTTGTCTCCTAGATATTGCTTCAGATGATCTGGAAGGAATTGAAGGCCAGCTGAAACATTGCACGGTCAGAGTCAAAGTTAAATTAACTTACCTTTGTTCATAAAGTACAAAGTTAATGCTCAACTTTTAAAATATTTCTGCAGAGATTCTACTGCACTCTTAGTGACCTTAAGGGAGATGTAGAAACAATATTGAAGAGGGGTCGAGAAATGGTAGATGACAACAACATGATTGATCCAATCAAGCTTAGTTCTAAATTGGATGCCCTAAAAGATCTCTACAATAAGGTGAAAAATGCAGATCCTTGAGAAGTGAACCATATTTTTCTTTAGTTTTGAGTAAGCTTTGAGTAATTAATCTTATAAATAATTTTTTGTTGTAAATTCAGCTTGGTTTGCAAATAGCTGATTCTAAAACAGCCCTTGAAAATGCTCAAGAACTGTCCTTGAGTATGCATAAAGACATACCTGCTCTTAATGAGTGGATGGATATGGTTGAGTCAGAATTAGATGAGAGAGAAGCACTTCCAATGGCAAGGCGAGACTTAGAATCTGAGAGAGCATTTCTGAAGGTAAATAATATTTCTATCTAAATATCCTATATAAATGTTAAGATGTAGGTTGAATCTTTTCCTGTACGCATTTACTCACAACACTCACCATCTGGAAAATTCTGTTTGAAATTTTCTCCTCTCTACCACAATTTTGCTCCCAACCGATCTAATTTTGGAGTTAAACTCAGCATTGTTTGCAGGAGTTACTGGAAGAAGAAGTACCTCAATGGGAAACAATGCGAGACCGTGTTAAATCGGCATATCAGTCTTTTTCTTCAATTTGTGACCCTGTATACCTCGATGTCCTACGTGATCGAGTGAGTGACGTGATGCGGAGATGGGATCGAGTGATAGACAGAGCGCAAACTACAAGGACCACTGTTGAGGTAATCATCTACATACTAAATCCCCCCTTACACATCCATGAATTATCTTGTTTACCTGTTGTGTGAGTTCTGAATACTTAATATAAAGCTTAAATAATGTGAGTTTTGATGTCTTACCAGATATTATTTTCTGCCTATTCTGAAAATAATATCTGCGAGGAAAAATGACATACCAAAGTTTAACTGATATACCTATCTAAATCCAAGCATCCAATTGTTCTGTTGCTATGGGATGTGTTTCTCAGTGTTGGTGAAGGTTGATGGCTTTGAACATGTTTTCTTGCTAAGAATGCCCATGCTAACTGGACAGTTATCTGTGATGTCACACTGCTTTTTCATCCTCACACCATCCATCACCCATTGGAATGAATTTGTGTTTTGCTGATATTTGTCAGCTTTTTTCATCTTGTGTGTACTGTTTTGATTCCTAACAATATGGATTGCGGCTCACTTGTACAAATTGTTGCACCCTACCTACTACCAGAAACACCTTTCACTTTCTTATTTTGTCTTAGTACCCAAGTATGAGAAAATTTATTTTTAACTGTGGTGAGTTTTTACCAAGTCTTACAAAACATAGTTTTAAAGGAAACCAACGTAGTATCAGATTAGAATTTATGTTTTCACTTTGTATGTGTTGTACTTTGTTGCATAGTTGTGAAAATATCATGCGGTCTTTATTTATTATCCATGTGGAATTTTGTAGAAAGGATTTAAATAGATATAGAGGTTTGTGAGTAAATTAACTTTAATAATTGAGTTTAACTAACTATATCCTAGATTTAACAAACAACTCATCATTTATTTGTGAAATCATTTCAACTTATGGCTTTTATCTTGTGCTAATTTAACATTAATTTGTGTGGTGCAGGCGGAATGTGTTAACCCCTCTGTTTATGTGAATGTATGGCCCTCATTTGACTTGCATTTGATGTGCAAACCCCTTCTCCATATCTGGTGATTGCATTTCCTTACCAATTTTCAACTGCACAAAGATAAAATTAAGCACACACTCTTTTTGTAATGCTTTCCTGATGTGGTGGTTGAGCTTCCTGCTGGGATGGGTGAGATGAGGGATTGCAAACTACAACACTTCAGCTTGATGGAGGTGGTAGGAAATTATCTGCAGAAAAACGCACAGTATTGTGGCCCACAGACAATCTGTTGCGTCAAGTTATGTGATTTCCCCACCCTTATTTTTACAGGACTTGGTTCCTGATGAAACATCACAGCCATTGCAGTCTTCAGTGATGGGAATAGGTAATCCTGCTTTTGAAGATCTAGATGATGCATTCGGATTAATAGAAAACACTGTAGATGAAGATATGTCTGAGCAGCAGGAAAATGCCTCTGCTGAAAATGCTTTGAAAAAGGAAAGTGTTAAGGATGAAGACACTTTCTGTTTGGCTAAAGACAGCTCACTCTTCTCACAAGTACTGAACAATAGTTTAACATCATCTGGTGCTGGAGAACTTTGCTATCATGAACCGAGAGAGCAGAGAGTACAAATGGTGGAAGTTAAAGCCTTAGAAATTGTGAAGTCAGTTGTGACAGCTGTAGAACCCATGGAGGTTTATCCTAGCAGTTCATGCCACCAAGCTCCCCAGACTGTTGAAATGGTTGAAATTGTTGAGGATACAGAGGAATCAGCTCCTGATACAGATTCCGAGTCTCCTGCTATAGCCAGAAAAGTCTCGCCCATTCCAGTTCATGTTAAAAGTTTCTCAGAAATTTTGTTGAGGGGTAAGGGGTCAAAACCTACGCAGGCACTTAGGAGTATTGAGTTAGTGAAGCCAATTCAAGTTGTTGAAGTCAAACCAGAAGAGACACCTCCACTCTGTTTGGAAATGACAGATCGTGTGAAACGAATGGAGGAAACAACTGTTACTGCTTGGAGAAGAAAAGAATTGAATGAAAACCTGGTCCATTCATCTGATCAAATTGAGAAAGATGATGAACCTAAGGTTACCCTAAGGAAAGAGATTGAAGTGTCAAAAACGTACCAGTTGATTGGAAATTTCAGTAAGGACTCTCATAGTCTTAAAACAAAAAAACCCATAGAAGAAGGCACTCCTGGACCGTCTAGCAACGAAGTAATCCGTAGAGGAAAGAGAACAGTAGTTCCTCCAGAAAAGGGACTGGTGGAACAAGAGTGCTCTGAACCTATAAAACGAGTAAAGACTGAATCATATAAGGATGTAGAAGAGTGGGACAAAGATAGTTTCTATGGAAGTGATAAGGAAACAGATGATGTTGTAGAATTTTCTGATAATGATTCTATTGCGGCTGTGACTTCTCATACGATTATCGATACTTCAGAAGATGACAGCTCGAGTTCGGATGATGAGGATCCTGCCTTCTACTCTCGATATGCTGAGGGCAAGGTGCGTAAGTGACTACATTAGGAAAAGTACATCCCTGTCTCCCTGTCTTTCCCCATGAGTGACTAATGGAACAATAAGTCTTTTAGGTTTCTTTTTAAGCATTACTTGATCTTTTACATGAGACTGTACAAAATGTTTTTGTTTTGTTACTATATTATTACCCCTATTAGTGTTTTAAGATGTATTTTAAATTATATAAATTGGTCATACATAATTTTGGAGTTGTATATTGTAAGATTGTTAGCTATGGATTTCTCAGTCACAGAAAAATTAGTGAAAGTTGCAAGTATTTAGGATGTGAGACTGGACATAATTTTGATTTCCCATTGATGGTTGGTAGGGGATACACAAAGCAGTGTGATAATCTTTTCCATTTTATCTCTCTTTAAAAAAAATCTTCTCTAATGGTAGTTTTTTTATTGGTTTCTAAATCAATATTTTGTATTCTAGGCTAGTCTTTCTGATCAAGGAAAGGTAGCTGATGCCAATGACAGCAACAGAAGTGGTGATTTCGAGAAGTACGTAGATGAAGCTTTCAAAACGCCACGAGTCAGTGCAGCAGTTGATTCAAAGAACATTGATGATGATGTAATTAATTTTGAGGCTGAAGCACAACAAATGCTGGAACGAATGGATCGTATGCTACTCATTGTTAGGAAAATCAATGAGACGCCAGATCCTACTCATAGAATTGAGGTGTGTGTAAACTTTTTTTTATTTTTAGTTATCTTAGATCTTTATTCAAAGTACATTTTGTTTAAAACTCTGCTTTGACTCCAGGTTCTAGAAAAAGAAATTGTTGGTCTTGCTTCTGATGCTGCTACACTTATAAGCCGTGGTGATGGTTTGGTGTTACTGGTTCATATCTCTGATCCGGAACGGGCAGACTTGCTCAAGAAGACATCTCAAGATAGACTCCGCAGTAAGTGGAGCCAGGTTATGTCTGAAACTGAGGTAAGTAATTGTTTCTAGTGTGAATTTTGCATTTGCATGCAGTAACCCTAGTGTCGTAACATTGTTAATCAATTTGCATTGCAGATACAAAAGACAGAAGCCCAGAAGGCTGAAGTCACTTTGCGTGAAATGAACAAACTAATTCGGGATGTAGATTTATGGCTCTCCAGTGTCAAGAAAAAATTGCAGCATGCTAACAATGATGAGGAACAACTTCAGGTGATTTTTCATAAAATCTGAGTCGAGAATTCAATTTAAAAAAATAATGTTAAGAATATTCAGCACAGAAAATACTTAAATCTTCAGGAAGCTCAACCACCTGCTAAATTTTTGAATGTTGTTGTAGACAAGATGTCTCTTATCATCACACTTTTATTTTCTTGACTTATTCACAACAATAATTTTATAAATGTTTACAAAATTTCAGGTTCAACAGTTTTCCCTCTTAAGCTTGGAATGGCTTCCTCCCCCTTTCCCCCCACCCTTTCCCCCCACCCTTCAAATTGCTTTTGGTTTGCTCCTGCTTCCTGTGTGCTTTCTTTTGGTAATGCCTGTTGGCGTCTTAGTTCATAAGAAGTTTTCAACTCCCTAAAAGTTATGAGGGTTTGGTAGTGTTATGGTGAAAGCCAGTGCAGGTTGCCTAACATTATTTCCTCTTAATCCTATCCTCAAAATCAATAATTATTAATCTAATTTATCTATCTATGATGAGATGCATGAGTTTTTCTGCATGTGTGTGATCTAAAGATTATCACAGTATTATTATTAGGTTTTCTGATTTATTATTAACCTATCATATGTGTTCATGATATTATTTTTCTTTTGTTTTCTCTCTGTGCAGGCTTTAAAAATTGAGGTTTCTCAGAAAGAACAGATGATGAGACAACTTTCTGAACTGGCAGCCGAATTAGACATCCAACAAGCCAACCAGTCTGCAAGTGAGAAACTAAAACCGCTGACATCTCGTTGGGATGAATTGCTTGAAGAATTACAGAGGTTCCAGAAAAATCATAAACAGGACAAAGTGGTATGTTTCTCCAAGTGTACCTGTCACTGTAGTCACTCTAATTGAATGTTTCACTGTCACAATCATACTGTGCCTTTCAGGTTGATATTGCAGGGGCCAATATTTCATCAGATTTTGTTATTAAAGTGAACAAAATACGTGAAACCACATCAAGTGTTTCTCGGCAGTTAAATGCTCACCCACTTGGTGGTAGGGACTATGAAGCTTTCCCTACCCAGGAAGATGCTTTGAAGGTATGTAAAAATAAAGACAATTTCCTTTTTTCCCTTTTTGTTACCCCATGTTTTAAATTGTTGGATATCTTGTAATTAATTGTTTTAGGCTGTTCGAGAAAAGCTTTCATCTATCAAGCCGCAAGTAGAGAAGGTGGAAAACGAGCGGGATGTAGTAGTTCGCACAGCATCTGTTCCCGAAGTTTCAGGTCAGGTCAGACGTGTGGTGGACAAGTTGAGGGAGGAGTGGGCTCAAGTGAACCGCGCTTATGCGGAAAGGCACTCGAGGTGGCTCTCAGCTCAAGAGGTGTGGGTCAATATCCAAAATGAATCAAGACTTTTCTCTGAGTGGCTGGAGACCGCAGAGGGTGTAATCAATGAATGGAAGAATTCTGACTTACCCGTCGAGGTGGCTAAGGTCAAGCAGAAGGATCTCGAAAAGCAGGTGAGAAATTCCTTATTATGTATTTTTAGACAATTTTATTGATGACATTACAAAAAAGAGGAAAAGTTAAAGAGCACAATGACAAGAACAGCATTCTCCAGGTGCAGCTTTGTCACTCGCTAGCTCAATGATCTTAACAAACAGTAGAATAACGGGCACGAGTGAAACTGAAAGTGACGGATTCTATGACGATCATGATTTTCAATTCGCCAGGTGACGGTGAAGCACCGCATGATGAACAATCTCAGCTCGACCTGCCGGGACGTGACGGGTCGGCCGGGACCCGAGCAGGACCCCCAGAGCCGCGAGCTGGCGGCGCGCGTGGACGAGCTGCGCAAGCGGTGGCAGGCCGTCCTGGGCGAGCTGACGGCGCAGAGGGACCGGATCTCGGCAATCACCTCCCCGACCAAGGACGCGGTCCGGAGTGCGCAGGAGGCGGCGCAGGCCAAGGCCCAGGCCTGCCTCGACCGGGTCGCGTACCTGCTCACCTCCGCGCCCAACCCCTCCGACGACACCTCGCTCTCTGTGCGCCTCAGCATGGTCAAGGTGGGTGGTCGGGTCTATAATGCTGCACGACTCCGGTGTGGTTTCCAAGGCCCGCCGGCTCTCTTAGAGACCTAGAGTCCTAGACTGCCTGTTCCCAAGTCTATACCGGGCTCCAGGCGTATCGTTACACTCCCCCCCCCTAGAGCGCTACATTTTTAGTGCGATTGTTGAGGGTGCCTACAGATCCTCATATCGTTACTTATACCGTACGCCATGCGCCATGCAGGCGTGCGTGCGGGTTGCATATTCTTGGGGCCACACTAGATGACATGGTCAGCTAGAATGGATAGGCAAACCCAACATTGCGCCGCTGTGCCCGGTAATCAAGCAAATTGTTTTTTATTTACATTTCTAAGGTCCAGTGGGACCGGCCGAGCCGAACAGCCGCCCCGCCTGAGGTTTGGGAGAATGGCCCCGTAGTCTCGCGCGCTTGCCTGCAGCCCGACCGGCGGCTGGGCCTTAGAGTCCTGCAGCGGCAGCGCCCGGCGCCAAGGATTAAAATAAACTCTTGTGTCGAGAGAGGAGGCGCGGGGCAAGGGACACGCGTTGGGCGGGGGGACAGGGGAGGGGGAGGGGGTTGCAGCGTCGCGCATCTTCATTGCGGGGCCGCGGGGTTCGCGCGGTGTATTGTGATGCGGAAGGCGCCCGCCCCAGTAGTGTCGCGTTGGGAGGCCGAGCCGAGCCCGCCCCGCCGCGAGGGCTGACCATGCCGTGGTGGTGTTCCAGGCGAGAGACTCGGAGCTGCAGAAGCACCGGAGGGACATGGACTCGCTGAAGCGCTCTGCGGCCAGCGGTGGCGGCACGGGGAGCAGCAGCGGCGGCAGCAGCAGCGCCAGCAGCGCCAGCAGCAGCGGCAGCAGCGCCGTGGAGGCGGCCATGGCCAGGGCCAGCACCGGGCTGGCCGAGCACCGCGAGTACCTGGACAGCAGGCTGGCCGGGCTGCGACGCTTCACCAGCCAGCTGGACGCCGTCATCGCCTGGGTCATGGAGGTGCGCACGCGCATCAACATCAGCAAGGACCTCGCCGAGCCCGACCGCGCCCGCGTCATCGAGAGCATCATGGTGAGGGTGAGGGCCGGCCCGGACCAGCCGGACTGCACTGAAGCGCAGTTCCAGCCGACCGCCGCCGGTGTGGAGTTTTAATATTTTACTTCTTGTTAACAATTGTCTTTCTTCCTCGTGGCGACAGCAGACCAGCGTGTACGACCGCGAGATGGAGGTGACGGACGTGCTGGAGAACTACAACAACCTGGAGAAGGAGTGTGAGGGTGCCAAGCAGCCCGTGTCGGTGGAGCTTCAGGTACTGGTTATCATCTACCACATTCCGTATCATTTAATTTTCCAAAGATTATTTTAAGCTCCTCTACTTTCTGCTCGAAATTAATTATACCCTCTCACCTTTTGCACGTGACGAAACGACGCCTTTTGTCCTCTTTGCAGGAAAAGGTGCGCAAGTTACGCGAAGATTGGAACTACGTGAAGAACCGCGGCGAGCCGTCGGCGGTGCCAGCCGTGGACCTGCGACAGCTCGACGCCCTGGCCACCACTCCTGGTACCGGTGAGTTTTACTTCTCTCCGATCATTCACGCTAAAGAGAGGGGGGGGGGGCAATCCCGCCCAGCCGGGGTGGGTTGCACGCCGGGCAGTTGCCTACCTTCGAGGGGTGCCCGTCAAGGAGCTCGTCCGCTGCCGCGTGTGGTTTGTGAGCGATCCTTTGGGGGGCTCTGATCGCGGAAGGGCGCGACATTTTGCGTGTGACCTATACGCTGCCCGTGTGCGGACCGTCGTCCGTCCCCCCTCTCTCCGCTTCCTGCGCCCCCCAGCGCCAGCCTGCGTAAACCCTGCTGAGAAAAGTCCGGGAGACCAACGAACGGGCGCGCTGTGGTGTGGGGCGGCTGCCATATGCACAGCCGATTTATGTTTTTAATTAATCGAGAAGACGAGGCAAGCGGGGCTCGGTCAGGACCTCGGCTCCTCTTCCACAACCACCGCTTTCTCTTCTCCTTCGCCCGAT